ACGGCTTACTCAGCAGCTTATTAGCTGCAAGTTATGTTCCCAGACCTTTCCAAGTAGAAGGATCTCCCCAGGAATCTGCTGCTTAACATGCAGGAAATCTTATTTAGGGGCTTTCCTTCAGTTTGGCCTACTACTTATTCCTGTGCTAGCTGTTTTTTGCCCCCCTGCAACTCTGGTACATGGAGAGAGGAGTAGGAACTGTGCCTTTGTGCTTTAGTTGTGGCTATAACCTTTATTTTCAGTGTAACCTTGCCCAGTGCTTTTGCTCCTCTGTCACCCAGGCTGCCTCCAGTCCTTTCACTGGTGTGGGCTGGGGCAAAGTGCTGCTCACAGAGCCTGTGCTTAACGTGCTGCTGCAGCACTGCACATCTTTGCTGCTGTGGAGAGGAGCCCCTCCACAGGAATGTCTTGATATGACCAAACCCTGCAGTGGAATATTGCAGGGACACTGTCCTCCAGATGCTGAAGGACTTCCAAGTGTTTTCAGCCACTTTCTGCCTCTCACTGCAAAGCTGCCTCTCGCCTGTGGGCACTGCTGAGCTGCCCAGGTGAAGCTCTGAGTTGCCATCTCATTTATGCCTTACCTGGGGCACTTGTGGACCAGCTGAGCAGGTAAGTGGTGGTGCTGGCAGTGATGGTGTCAAGAATACCCGTTTGCAGTCACAAGAGCTCTCAGCAGAAATTCCTGCTCTCACAGCAGCACTAATGCCCACCAAGTGTCACAAGGAGTCTCCACCTGTGACTTCTGCCAGCCCTCCTGTGCCACCCCCTCTGCTGTCTGTGGAATTTTCTGATGGAAAGCTGCCTCTGTTCCTGAAGGCAGGATTCTCATCCTGAGCCTCTTTCTGGAAAGTTTCTAAAGTTCAGCCTAATAACTCAGTACAGAATCAAGGAAGAGCAAACAAGGCTGCACAGAGAGTAATCCCTTGCTTAAAATAGTAAATGTGTTCAGGCAACAACTGAGCGAGTTCGGGGGCAGAAGTGGGATTTGTCATTCAGGCAGGGTTTGTTTGGAAGTTTCTGCTGCTGGGAAGAATGGCTTGGATGAGAACCCGTCACCTTTGTGGCTGCCGGGAGAGGGCGGCAGCAGCGGCTCCGCTGCTCCCGCTGCCCCTGGAAAAAATGTTTCCAGGAATTGCCGTCATCAGCCCCGCAGCCAAACTCCCTTTCTGTCCCGCTATGAATCATGCGGATGGGAAACGCTTGTGTTTCCGGAATCCAGCTGAATTTACTGCAAAACCATCTTTGCTGCTCACCTGCGTGTGTAAATCTCCGGCGTTTTCCCAGTGTCTTCCAGTTACGCTCTTGCTTCCTGCTGGAATCGCAGTGATGGGGTGGAGGCCTCCAAGTGCACAGGGCAAGTGCTCCGGAAAGCCAAAGCTGCTGTGTCCTCGGAGAGAAACATCCTCTCCTTTCTCCCAGCTGCACTGAATCTGATCCTACCTGCTGGTATTTTTAGACAGGAGAAACTGGGAGCTCAGCCACGTTGCCGTGAGCTGCGGGAGCGTTATCGGTGCTCGGGGAGCAGGGGATGGAGAGGGGTCAGCCTTCCCCTGGCACCCATCAGCCTCTTGAGCTCTGGCTATAAATAGCCAGGAGGAACAGAGGAACAGCGTGCCCTGGCCTTGGGAGGGGAGGGGAGGCTCTGCTCTCGGTGCCAGCACAGCACCCAGCCCTGCTCAGTGGGAAGAGGGAAGGGCCAGGGTGGCAACTTCCCAAGGCAGAAAGAGGAACACACATGTGGTTCCCCCTTTCACGTTAATAATCAATGAGTCTGTGAATGTTTCCAGAGGTTTCCTCTCCTATGCCAATCTGCAGAGGATGTGGGTAGTTCAAGCTCATGCTCCAAGCCTGGCGTTATTTGAGCTGAGGCATTTCAGGAGATCTTGGAGAGTCTGCCAAGAGACAATCGTCAGGTTATTGCTGCGCTTTGGGGCAGCTGGGCTGCCGGGGATCTTTCTGCTTTACTCTGTGCCCATCTCCTCCGTCTCCCCCAGCTCATAATGAGAGTCCATCAGCCTGGATTGTGCTCCTGTGCTCAGCACAACCTCCAGCTGGTGGGGCAGTGAACTCCGAGTGCTTGTGACGAGGAGAGGAGAGGGAGAAACCTCATCTCTGCCTGGGACTGGCGTGCCAAGCAGAGAAGAGCTCTCTGTAAGTGGGAGCTGCCCTGGTTTAATTTGCATCTGTTTGTTCAGATGGCCCAAGCTCCTGTGTGAGCGTGTTCAGATTTCAGTGGGGACCTGGCTGACCTCTTCCTGGCCAACTTCAGACCAAGAAAATGAAAACACCTACATGAGATTTGAGGTGGGTGTGGACTGGTGGTGTCATTTAGACCAACACAGGACAAACCTGTAGAGAAGAACTAATCACATCAAAACTGTGTTAGCAATCTCAGAAAACAAAACACCTTTTATTCCTGTGGGAGTTGCTGTTTCTCTGAGACAGCAACAGCTTGGGATGAGGAAGGCTGGCCCAAGGCAGCCCCAGCCTAGTTGTCCTCCCACCGCCAGCGATGAGGGGATGATTCCCCTTTGGACAGTTTTCTGGAACTCAGCTTCCTCCGCAAGGAGGAAAATTTGTCTCCAAGGACTTTGCGTAGCCCAGTGCTGTCCCTAGCAAAGGGCAGGTCCTTCCTCATAGCAGGCAGCTGGCCTGTAAACATTTCCCACTTAGCCAGGGCATCCACAGTCTTGTCCACTTGAGCCAGTTCCTCCTCGGAGACGTTCCTCTCCAGGGCAGCAATGCACATCTCCAGCCACAGCTCGTAATCCTTGATGGTGTCCGTGGCCTTGGCGTGCCCGGGGAGCCGGGGCTGGCCCTGCCCCTCGGGCCCTGAGCTGGGCTGCTCGTCCTGCTCCAGCTCCGGCCCGATGGACAGGCCCTGGCTGCAGGTGTCGGGGGTCAGCGGCTCGGACAGGGAGGTCACGGCCTCGGAGTCGTTCTCACAGCACATCCCGGAGTCAGAGCTGAACGGGAGGATGTCCTCGGAGGCAGACAGCTCTGCTGACTCCTGCCTTGGCCACGTGGACAGCACGGTCTGTGTCCAAGCATAGAGCTTCTGTGGTGAGAGGAGAAAGGTTTCGTTGTGGAGGATGAGATGCCAGGTACACATTCCCCCGTGTTTCCCAGGTAAACCTATTTCTCTTGGGTGGCTCAGCTGCAGCTGCCACAGTCCTCTCTGCCAGAAAATGGGTTCAGACAGCTCCTGGTGACCCTACAAAGCAAGAGCTTTCTCTTGTCTCATTTTCTTGGACTGTGGCAGAGCTGCCTCCAGTCAGATGTGGACTTTATCTGCTCTGTTATTGAAGGGGGTAGGAGAAAACTGTACCAGATCACTCCCTGCTGTGTGAATGTGATCTCCAGAAGAGGCAAACCAACGCCTCTCCAGAGGAAACTGTCATTATAAAAGCTCCTCAGATAGTGGTGAAGAATTGTGTTTCATCATGTTGTTAATGCCTGTGGTAATGTGTGTTTTATTCCCAAGAATAGCTCTTCCCCTCCTGAGCTGCAAGGAACAAGTGGGAAGGCTGGCTCTAGGAAAGAACTAATGAAAGGAAAATGTCTGAGACAATTTCCTTTTTTAATATTAAATGCCACAATGAGGCATATAACAGGTTGCTCCTGGCACATTTGTTCCTTATGCTTTAGGGAATGAACCACAGTACTCCAGTCATCCCTGGGTAAAAGGTGATCTCATCTGCCTTGTTTCCAGTATTGAGGGGTTTTTGTGTTTGTTGTTCAGTTTTTCACACTCCTGTGGCCTATTTCTTCCCCTTTACTTTCTGTAACTCCCAGTGGTCCATCTGCACATCCCCCAGTTGCTCAGCAGTGACAGAATTAGCCTGGGCTGTCCCCATGGTGTGCCAGGCACGCAGCTGGAGCCGTCCCTGCTCAGCTCAGGGGGAGCTGCAGTGTTTGAGGAGCAGGCAGGAGATTCCCAGCCCTGTGGAGCTCCCTTCTCTTACAGCCCCCCACTGCTCCCTCCTCCTTTCCTCCTCTATTGCTGTCTCTTCAGGCAAGTGACAGAAAGGATAAAGAGCTCAAATTGAGTGGGTGGGAGAAATCGGCCCTGCTTCTCATTTCAGTCTGAGCATGGAGCCTCAGGGAAGAATTCTGTACAGGAATAAAATGGACTCTTTCAGTTTAGCTAATCCACCCTGCCCCCTCCCTCTGGGCCAAGAAAAATTGTAAAGGGACAACTTTTCTCCTGCCTGGTCCTACCTCCAGTGGCCCTTCCCTCCCTCTGGGTTTATCCAACAAAGGCAGTGGGAGCTGGGCTAGTGAAGGGGACAGCAAAACTCTGGAAAGCTGCAAGCAGCCCATAATTTTGTAATGGCTCTAAATTCCCAAGAATAGTGATTCTGGGAAGGAATCCCAATTGCTACTTAGCCCAATTCCCAGGAAGAAAAAAGGCTGTGGAGATGTGGATTTTTCAACAGTACATTCGGGTTGTTCAAGGCAAAAAAAAGGGGGATAATCGACTCAGGATCACTGCCTGAATTCCCAGAATCTCTTCAATCTCTGTCATCCTTTGGGTGGCTTATTCATTTGAATTTTGGGTGGGTTTGAAGGGCTGCAGCCTCTTATGTTCTGCTGTTTAACCAGGAAGGGATGAGCTCTGTGTGGGTTTTGTTTACCTTGCAGGCAAGAGCAGCTGAAGTGGATGTCCACCCCAAGGATGCCACTAAGACCTGTCTGTGTGTGTGTGGCCACTGCAAATTCATCCAGCCACCATGTGAGGACAGCCTGGGATGCTGCACAAGCAGCAGGTGGAAATGTTGATTGTGCTGGGGAAACACCGGGACAATTTGCTTGCTCTCAGTTTTCAAGATGACTCATGCTGGAATAAGCAGCTGGAATAAAAAATGGAGTGTGGTTCTGAGTACAACTCAGATAAATATGTTGAGGGGCTCTTGCTGCTGCATGAGGACTGGTTTCCTGCCCTGCATGCTCCTCTGCCCCAAACCATGTCTCAGTTGCAGATCTGAGCAGAGTTGCCTGCTGCTGCCAAGGCACAGCTTGGTTCTGGCATTTCCTGTGGTTATTAGGAGTGTCTGAAGCTGTTTTGTGGCAGGTGGGGATCTGTGATAGTTTCCAAGAGGAAATGTGACTTCAGACTTACACTTAGCAAATTAACTTTGCTCTCTTTTATTGTCTCAAAATGCTTTCTGCTCTCTTCTGTCCTGTTCCTTAACTATTTAATTAATCTCTGGCATTTATGTCTCCTCTCAACATTATGGCAAAGCCTTTTACAGAGATTATCACAGCTCTCTTACACCATCTTGTACTGTATCTAGTTGAGCTTTGCCTTCTTAAGGAAGCAGATGTGACATTTGGCAAGTGCATCATTCCTTTGGGTTTGTGTTCCCTGTCACCAGAGGATGCTGAGCCAATTACAGTATTTGCTGCAGGTGTAAAGGCAAAAATATTTCTAGAAAAGATTAATGCAGATGGCCATTCTCTTCTAGAAAGCATTGGCTGGATGCTGACAGGCTGGGTGTTTCAATAAAGCAGCATTTATCTGCTTTATTTAAGCAGAATCCTCTGGTGGTCTGGGCAATTTAGACACTTCTCAGACAGAAGTAGGGACCAAACAGCCACAGAGTTGGGGAAGGGTCTGGCAGCACCACAGATAAGTAGGAAAATCACAAAAAAGTGTGTGTTTCCCCACAGTCTTTGCCATGCTTCTGTGTATCTGATTCCATGCTGAATGAAACCAGAGGCATCTCCTTTCTCATTCTGCTCATATCTTGTTACAAATACAACCCACAGACTTTAAAATAGGCAGCCGTGGAAAATCCTGCCTCTGAACATGATGTGTGTCAGACAGGAATCACAACCAGGGAGAAGATGGGTGCTGAGGGAGAATGGGGACATTATTTCTATTCCAACAACCATTTGGCTACTGAAACCTGCTTTTTAGACAGCAGAGGTAGAAAATCCTTTCAAGAGTTAAGGGTGTATTAGCACTGTTCCTGATGTATGTAAATGTGGTATTTAGCAGTGGTATGGGTGGGAGAGAAGAGACAAAAGATGAGTCTGGGACCCTCCATGTATTGAGGGTAATAATTTGGGATGTTTTCTCATGAATTTAAACAGAGGAATTGCAGCGAAGTACACACATAATGTTTCCTCCCTGTTCCCAGCAGCCCCAGAGAGGCAAAAATCCAGGGTGGCACAAGAAAGGACGTAGCTGTGGGAATCCCTGAACTCACTGCTGCTCCTGCTTGCAATCTGCCTGCCCTCCCCACCTCATTTTTGGGAGTAGGTAAGTGTGGTTGGACTGTGGCAGTGTCCCTCAGGAAGACCCAAAAGCTCTGGAGCTTGTGCAAAGTGCTTTGCTGGTCAGAGAGCATGTGTAGAACACCTCCATGATCAGGTGTGAGCTGCTGCCTCAGCACCTTGCACTGAGAGCTCCTGAGAGCTCCTGCCTTCACCATGCTGCTGCAGCACCTTCAGTGCTGGGTTTGGGCTGGGCTGAGCCCCCTGGCCCTGCCCTGCCCCTGCCCCAGGGGGCTCAGGGGGACTGGGGCTCACCCTGTAGCGCTCGATGAGTTTGAAGCCCACGACGTGCTGCAGCTTCCGCAGGCAGATGGGGCAGGGCTCCAGGGGCCGCAGCAGCACCTCGTCCAGGCTCAGGGCGCCCTGCATGATGCACTGCAGCCAGCGGCATGTCCCCAGCCCCATCAGGTGGCAGATCTCGTGGCAGGTCACCTTTCAGGGAAGCAAAGATCACAGCAGTGCATGGTCATTCCTGTTTCTGCTGCCTCCTCCTCTTCCTCCTCTGCTGTTCCACCTTCCCTGCTCCCTGGTAGTCTGAGCAGCCCTTGCTCAGCAATGGTTCTCCTCCAGCCCAGGCTTTTCCAAGGTGATAGGAGAACCTGGCTGCCTCTTCCCAGCTCCATTTTGTATAGTGGAGAAGGAGGGGTGGGTGTGGATAAGGCAAATGTGGGGAGCCCTGTAGGTAAAGCTGTGGGGCAGTGCTGCTGCTGCTCTTCCCCAAGGACAATGTGGTGGTTTTTGTTGTTTTGGGTTTTTTTTTAATAGGAAAAGCAGTCCCACTGGGGCCTGAAAAGAGCAACACAGCCTATGTGAAAAATGTGCAAGAAGTTGTTGGCAATAACAGATTTGAGTCCTTCCAGAACAGACTCCATTAACGTTTGTGCCAAAGCAGAAAACTGAGCTGGAGTCAGCTGGCCAAGCATGACTGCCTTGGGAACTGGCAACTGTGGAAAGGCTGAGGATGGAGGATTCCTCTCCTCCTCCCATTGCCACTTAATAGCATTTAAAATTATTACAGGAAGAGACCTCAAACTAGAAAATCCTGAGCAAATACCAGGGGAGCAAAGGGAAGTGGCTTTGAAGGTGCTGGTGTGACTGCTCTGTGTGGGCCAGCTTTGGGAAGAACGCTGGAAGCAGAGCTGGAATATGGCAGATGTTGGGATGAGGGAGGACAGCACTCATAAAGAGGATGTGTTGGAGGTGAGGGGAGTTTAAGAGCATCTGCATTTAAATAGATGACTTGGGTGAGGTGTTCTCCTCCATCCATGTAACAGGTCTGCACAGGGACCCCTCCCCTCAGGATTACCCAAGCACAAGTCTGGGAGCTGGGCAGGGTTGCTTCAGTCCTGCTCCATGACACAACCTGGTTTAGTGGAAGGTGTCTCTGCCCATGGTAGGGGTTTGGGACAAGATGGTCTCTAAGGTCCCTTCCAAACCAAACCATTCTGTGATTCTGAGACAAGTCCTGTAGCCTCCCCATAACTGATGTTGTCATTTGCTCCAGTGGTGAGGGGAGTAGGAGTTGTCCATGCAGCGCACTAAAATGCAAGCTCTTTATGTCTGAATTCTTTGTGGGTTTAGCTGTGACTGCCTGTGCTTCTGGGAGCAGTCTCATGGCTGCTTCACTGGGCTGAGGCATGGATGATACCCTGGCCTGAAATATTTAACCCTACCCAGGAAGAAACACGGGGTGCAGGAGGTTGCTGGTCCTACCTTACAGCACTGGACCATCTCCTGGGCACTGAACTGCAAGGCCCGGTCTCTGCCCTCCTTGCTGACTTCACACAGCTCTTCCTTCTGCGTGGGTGGGTTCAAGCTGCTACAGCCAGCCTGGGGGAAATCCCCAGAAAACCTGGCAAAGCTGCAGACTCCCACTTCTGTGAAGAGAGGGGAGTACAAGTCAGGTATCTGCTCTTTTACAACTGTCTGTCAACTTAGGCAGCATGAAAATGCAGCTGTGGGAGCAGAGTCCAGTTGGGCACACAGGCTGTGAGGAGATCCACTCCCCAAAAGGTTTGTATCAGTTGCCTCTGTCTGGATCAAGAGCCTTGATCCCCCTAACTTCATACTGAGGAAAAGTTCCTCTTACTAGGGAATAGCATGTTAAGGATAAGATTTGGCTATTCCAGTCTCACAGGGAAGGGCTTTTTGGTACAGTACTGCTTTATTCATACACTCTACTAGATCACCATGGGACACCAACCCACCTTGTCCTGGCAGGAATTTGCTGAATGTGAAGCTCCAGGTCTCACATGGATAAAGGTCCAGCAGGGTAAGTCCAAGGACACACAGGGCATCCATGGGCTTGTTGTTCTTCAGGAAATTCAGGATCCCATCTGCACAAATGCGAGAGAGATGTTCATTTAAATGAAGAATCCCTGGAAGACACAGAGCCAGAATTTCTGCTGCTGGTGGAGGGGAGGATGTAATCCAAGCCTACAGGCAGTCAGAGCTGCTGGATTCATCATCTCAGGTGGAGAACCATGACTGTGTAGCCCATCTTTCAAATCAGAGAAGACTTGACTTTGGAAGTGGTGCTGGGCACAGAGTCAAAACAAAGCAGAGATCCTGATTAATTCAGTACTAACCCATGGAAATGAGCACCTGGGAGCAGAATTTCCCTACAGACAGCTCAGAACTGAGCTGGAACAGCCCCAGGGCTGCAGTCCTGTGTCTGTGCTGAGCATGTGCTGCCCATGGTACCTGCAAACATCTCATTCCAGGTGGATGTTTGTGCAGTGCAAGTTTGGCAGCTGGCAAACCCAGTCCTCTGGGGAACTGTGTGACACTTGAACCCAAATTTCCTATCATGAAAGGCCTGCGAGTTCCTCCCCTGCACCACCCAGGCCAATAATTTACTTTGGCTCTGGACAGGGGATGGGAGAACTCAGACTGCACCAAATCTACAGAGCCTTCCCGCAGAGCTGATCCGATGGCTGTGCAGAGCTGGACCTAAACATAACAGCACTGAAAAATACAAACAGCAGAGGAAAATATGATGAAAGTCACTTTGTTTTTTATTCCTGTTTCCAGCCTCAAAGCTCTGGGCTTTCCATGGGAACAGGATTTCTGCCTTTTCACTCCCTTCCTCATCCCCTCCCAGCTCAGGCAATGAAGGGCTGTGTCAGGCATTTCCTAAGGGAGAACTCGTGCCTGTGTGCCAGGCTGGTGGCTTTGTGGGCTCCCTGCTGCCAGGTCCGTCCTCACCTGCGTGGAGCTGCACCCTGTCCGAGTCCCCGCTGTGGCGGAAGCAGCAGTGGATGGAGGAGACTGGGATGGAGGGAAGGCACTTCACACGCAGGCCCAGGAAGAAAGACTCCACACAGCTCTGGAGGGAATCCAGCAGCGAGAGCCCAGCGGGGCCTTCGATTAAATCTGAGGAGAGAAGCTCTCTGTCAGCCCCTCACAGCCAGGGTGAACATTAGGGTCTGACGGGGATTTGTGGCACTGGGCAGGCTGCTTCATTCTGGAGTTCATTGTTTACTCCAGATGTGGTGGACACCTCTGGATGGTTATGGATATAGAGGAGAAGAGGGAGCTCTTTCTGAGAGGTTGCTCAAGGCATTAGTACGCTCTCATTAGCAGAGCAGATGTGCTGGAAGGTTGTCTCCTGTTTAAGTTGCGCAGAATGATTAACGTGGGAATGAGTGGCTGTGTTTAATGAAGCATCAGAGATAGACCTCCAGAAATGCTGGTTTTTCCAGCATTGTTTCATACTTTGATATGCATATATGCATAAATTCATAGCAAGCCTCACCCAGGGGCACACATACCATGTATATGGCAGGTCTACCACCACATCTTATGACTATGGACTGGGGGCATTGCTTGTTACACTTGTCTTTGCTATGGCCATTGCATTTGCAGATGAGTCCTTAGAGGAAGGTGTTAGCAGCCCTCAACACCACCCACCGCCCTCCTGTGTCTGTCCAGGCAGCCCAGCGAAGATCCCCCCATTACCTATAGGCTGCAGGTAAATGTGCTTTCGACAGAAGTTCTGCTTCCTCCTCAGCATGGCGTGGTAGAAGGTCTCAAAGTCCTCGGGGGCATCGGGGTGGCTGAGCAGCCAGTCGAAGGCCGTGCGGATGAGCAGCGTGCAGAACAGCGTGCGCTGGGGGTTGTAGGCCTCGGACAGGAACAGCTTCTCCGCCCTGGAGAAGGCCTTGGCGTAGAGCTCCTGCAGCGCGGGGTCGGTGGAGATGAGCGCGTCCTTCAGAGCGCGGGGCCCGAAGCTGAACTCCTGCGCGTGTTTGCACTGCAGCATGGCGGGGCACGGCGGGGCACGGCCTGCGGGAGGGGACACGGCCATCAGCGCCTGGCCTCACCAGGGACAGGAAAGCTCCTCATGCCTGGGGGACATGGCCATCAGTGCCCGGCCTCAGCAGGGACAGGAAAGCTCCTCATGCCTGGGGGACATGGCCATCGGTGCCCGGCCTCAGCAGGGACAGGAAATCTCCTCACGCTTGGCGCTTGCAGTGGTGTGCCAATATCCCGGCTGTAGGATGTGGTGGGATTCTGTAAACACTGCATGCTGCACTCCAGGCCCTACGCTTCCTGTGGGAGTGGCTGTTATGGGTTTTCCATGTCCCTGTGGTGTCACTGGCTCAGGGATTGAGGGACTGGCTCAAGAATGCACAGCCCCAAAATGGTGCTGGGTGTCCAGAGTAAACCAGATGACTTGACTGATTTGGGGGTTTTTAGTCACTCTCTCCTGAAGCCCCAGTAAGATGGGAAATACCTCTGAGTGTTGCACAACTGGTTGCACTGGACCTTGTAGGATATAGAAATGGTGCTCCTCCTTGCTTGGGACAAACCACACTCCTTGGAACAGGTCCAGGTCAAGAACAAAGAGTTTGATATTGGTCTTTGTCTGTTGATCAGAAACCTAAACTTCTGCCTTACCTGACACCAGTGAAAGCAGCTGTTCTCTGGTGACAATTTCCCCTAACACTTTAATCCTAGCTATTATCCCAGGGTATCTGCTGGCTCCCAGTGCTGCTGTCAGGCTGCAGGATTTGGGCAGGTTTGCCCAGCCAAGGTGGGACTTGCTGTGCAAGGCTGGTGGTGCCTCTCTAGCAGGACACGCTTGGGCCCATTGCCATCATGTCCCTTCATGAACAGCTTCATGTCACACTGTGTTAGCATCAGCAATGCTGGGGATGATGTCAACTGGTAAATAAAGAGCAAATGAAAGCCTGCAGCACAAATTTGGAGCATCCTGGAAATATCCTCTCCAGGATCCTTTCTAAGACCAGTGTTCCCCAAAGCTGCAGAATTCCTATTCCTATTCCTACTCCTATTCCTAGCACTAATTCCTGCACCCACTGCAGTTTATGCACTTGGGGAGGTGCCATCTCTCCAAGTGAACACCTTGGGGAGGAAAAAAAGCACAGCCCCCATGACTAATCCATGTCTGGATTTTTCCTTTAGGTAAGGAGACCATGCCAAGCAGAATTGGAGCATTTAGGAGCAGTGCTTTGGGCTTTTTGCCTACCACAGGTAAGTGCTCCACCTGTTCACAGCAGAATGAGAAATTCAGGGGATATATGCACAAAACCCCAAGGTTTCTAGGAATAAGTGTTACCTTCTTCTAGGCAAGTTAATAGTAACTTAAAAGGAGCCAGAAAAGCTTTCTGAGTGGCCACTAAATGCATCAGCTGCTGACCATCACTGGTCTAGCAGCAGCATTCAATCACAGAAAAAAAAAAGAAAAAAGAAATTAAATATTTTAAGGAGGAACTGGTTAAGTCTATAATTTAAGTAGGTCTGCAGCCTAGTTCTGCCAGGTAAGTGGCATTCAGTGGCCCCTGAGGACAGCGATATGATTAATAAAATTCAATATTTAAAAAAAGTAGTACCAACATGAGCCAAAGCCTCTCAGTTATGCAGAGGTGGTTTGCGCTGTAAGAGGAAAGTGGCAGCTCATTAAAATTAACATTGCATTCCTTCTCATCTAACCCTTGGGAAGAGCTGTGTATGTATTGGTAGTCCTTAAAAAGGTTCATTTAGTGTGATCTTTTTGTCTCCAAGGGTGTGTAGCTTGGAGAGGGAGTGGATAAGCAGTTTTCTTTCATTTTTGCTAGCTTTGTATTTCACTCACATTAAAGGCTTACAGCAGGTGGCACGGGGGGATCTGAAGTGGTACAAGGGCCCTAATCCAGAGAAAATTTAGAAAAAAAAAAAATTGTGATACTTTCTCAGCTCTTCTTACTGCCTAAAATTGTCCAGATTTCTCCAGCTGGTTTTTACAGGGAGGAACAAGAGTTTGTGTGAGGTTTCTCTGCACTTGGTGACCCAAATTTCTACACTTCTGACTTGCTTCCAGATTTGGGAGCACAAAGTGAGAGTCTGACCCCAGCAGGTCATCAGGAGTTTTGCCTTGGATTAGGGTGAAGATTGGCATTTTCCTAATGGACAAGATTTTGCTTGTTCTGCACAACCTTGAAATACAAGCATCCTTTTCCTGGTGATTGCAGAACTTCCACTGGGGAACTCTCAGCAATATTCAACTGCCTGAGGATGTGATGCTATGGGCTGCTGCCTGCCTAGTGCAAGTCAAGAAAGAGACTTTGCACTTAGTCCAGATTGAGACCAATCATGTTAAAGGATTTAAATTTCAAAGTTTCTGGAAGCATGAGCTGCTTTCATTAATGTTTTGGGCAACCACTGGAGTGTTGGTCTGGGGAGGAGGAGCTGGTTAGAAAATGAATGGATTTTTTTCAGCTAAATGGGAAGCAGCAAAGAGTGGATGTATGTGACAGCAAATACAATGAGTGCACAGTCTTGTAGTAAGTGTTCCCCCCAGGGTCCCTGGTGGAGTATAGTGTGAGCCCAAAGCTATGGGATATACATTGTTTCCCTAGACTTCCTAAAAGGGCACATTCACCCAGCTCCAGACATTCCCAGCTGTGACCATGGGGGTTTTGTGATGTTCCCCACGCCCAAGGGTGCCCATGACAACACTTTAGTGGTTCAAAAGCTCGGGCACAGGAATGCATTTGCAGGAATTCAGTCTGGAATGACATTTGCCTCCTTCTCCTGGAGATCTAGCTTTGCTTCCAACAGAACAGCAGCAACCCATTACACTCTCCAAATCTGAGACAATTACTTCTCTTTAGTAAGCTTTTCTAAAATACTTCATTGGAGAAAATTAATGCCTCAGAAAAATTGTATGGAACAACTTTACTAGTTGAAAAAAGAAGTTCTTTTACCACATTAGCTATAGTAGATGTTATTTGTCTTGGTCTAATATATGGATATGGTGTTTCATTAACTGAAGCAGAGCAACAGTGCTTTATAATTTTTAGCTTTTGTGCTGAGGGTGCCTGGTGTAACTCCCTGAGGCAGTCCCTCTGGAGGAAATGGCACTTTGGCTTGGATAGTTTCTTTCCCAACTCAGTTTTTAAGATGACAAGGTGGGGGTGAAGAAGTAGAAGCACCAATGCATCCTTCTGCCCTTCAGGTATTTCAGAAGATGTCCTGCCTTTAAAGAAGCTGATTTGGCCCCTTTAAATGACAAGCTGTGGGACCTGACCAGCAAGTCCTGGGGAGGAGAAAGTAACTGCTTTTGTTTAAAAGGCCAGTAATTTGTAGTTGCACTTAAGAAAATGCTTTAAGCAAAATAATAATGTAGAGATCTGCTGCAAGTGGAGACACTCCTCACATCCACTCCTGTGCCATTTTTTACTTTACCATTACGAAAACATATTGTTCCCAACACAGATTTTGTTGCTCCATCTCACAGCCATTTGCTAACATTGTTATTTTTTCTAAACCAGGAGCAACTGTGTTGGACCACATGAGATCCATGAAGTTGGACCTGGTGATTTGGAGGTCTCTTCCAACCTCAGTGATTCCGTGATACGAAGGAGCAATCAATGTCCCTGTGTGTGGGATGGACAGGATCCCTGCAGGATCCAGGGGCAGGGAAGGAACCTTGTTGGGAATCTCATCCTGCTGGGAAATCCTCCTCTTTTTTTTTCTGTTATTTGCATACTTCATGTCACTCATCATCACCTGCACACAGTGCAGAGGAGACACAAAGAACCCAAAGGTTTTGGCACTTGGCTCCTTGTCTGCTCCTGCCAGCAGCCTTTTCCAAGGATTATGTTGTAGGACTCCAGTTTTTGCCTTTCTGCTTTTGGTGCTCCACAAGTCAAGAGCTCCAACACACTCCCTGAGTCTGGCTTTCAGCACCACTCTGAGATTTCAGATCACATTGGGCACATTACACAAATCTGTTCATTATGGAATCTGACAGATTTTATTTTCATGGTGAGTGTTTTCACAAGGAACACCCCAAAATCCAGGCTCAGCATGTGACACCTGAGCAGTATGTACACTCCCTTTCCCACAGTAACCTGTTAATGTGCTTCATGTGCAATTCAGGTTACTCATAAATAATTCTCTTTGCAAATCAGACACATATAAATTATTCTCTGTAATTGAAAATTACCTATGAATTATTCTGTTTGTAATTCATATATATGTCATTTATTCTCTAATATATTGACATTGCTTTCTTGGATAGAAATGCCTGGGGCTGACAGTAACAGGGTGATTCTCAAAGGCCAAGGCAATACCATACAGTGTGTGTTTATTTGGGATATTCTGACAAGACAGGGATGGTCTTCTGGGAAGAAAGTCCATGTACAGGTTCAGAAAGGGCACTCAGTGCATTATGGAGTTATTTGGTATTGTATAGAATTTGACCCTAACATCGCAGAGATTGTATTTTTTTTTAAGTTGGTAATTCTAAAGTTATTTATTTTATAAGCCAATTTGTAAGTCATTTCTAGCTCTGACTCTCCCATAGGCACTACAGATCCCTTCCCCTCTCAACTCTTGTGAAGTATTTGGAGGCAAACTGACTTAACCCAGCTCTTTGTATGTCAGAGGGACATTAGCAGGGTCTCTTAACACTGATTAATTACCTTTGTTAGGTGCTGTACAGTAAACAAGCAGTGATACCGCAGGAAATTCATCGTCAGTCAACAGAAATGAAAAGTCCGGAGCAAACATAACGAGTAATAACTAATTACAGCACATGCTCCAGTTACTTAATAGCTCTTTCCCTGAGATTTGCACTTGGTGTCTGCTACTGCTGCTCCAGGATCAGCCTCTCCTTCTCAGTATTACACCAATGACAGCCTGAAAGCAATTTTCTCAATTTATTTGTTTACATACATAGAAAGAGATTTTTCTTGACTGAGAAGCTCTGTTCCAAATAAAATTCTCACTGGTCCAGCTCCTTCCTCAGGGAGCTCAACACAGTCCCTCACACAAACCCAGGCTTTGCCTGCCAAGTAGGCTCAGCTCCTAGGGTCACACCAAATCTCTTTGGCCAGGCTCAGACCTGGTTTTGAGATACTCAGCAGTTTTCAGAATCAATCCCCTCTTCTCACAGAGAAAATCCACTCTGGACCTGCTCTGCCCTCTACTTGCACCCCCGTGGAGCTCTGGCATCCTCTGTCCACTTGGCATTAAGTGGCCACAAAGCACTGAGTCAGATCTCTGTGTGTTCCAGCCCAGAAACTCAGATAAAGCCTTCTGGCCTCACATCCTGCCAGATCCCAATAATATTTGTGTGTAATGTCTCTAGAATATGTCTGTGGCTCAGAAACAGATGGTCTTGGGAAGAGTCATTCCTGGTGCTGTGGAAACCTTCAGGGATTCACATTTACCAGGAGGATCCTGCATTTTCCAGGAGGAGAATGTGCCTGTCCTATTGGAGCTGTGATTGATGTGTTACTGCTGCAAGACTCGGTGCTGCAAGTTTGTCCCCCCAGGAATCTGCCTCATTAATTGACTTGGACTGCTGGACAAGGTAGATGGACAACTCAACAATATGCAAAAAAGGTTTGCAAGGTGAAAGACAAGATTTGTAAAGGTCATTAAATACCTAAGATGGAGTCAGATGCTTCCTTTTGTCCTTATTTAAATATTCTTATTTAAATGTTCTTAAGTATTTAAGAACACATACACATCCACTTTGCCTTTGATTTTGTTTTATGTTAAAGCCTGTTCTCTCAATACGCTGTGCTTCATTTTAATACGTCCTGAGGACATACATTATCCCTCGTTTCAGCCTTCTTTTCTACAGATTTTATTTATTCTACGCTCGTACAAAGCACTACCCTATTTTTCAGTGCCTGCCATTTGAGGCTCTCCAAACATTCATGAACTTCTCTGTGCTACCCTCCAGAAAGTGAGCTGGCAGTATGTGCCTCTCCCCCTCCTCCCCCTCATCACCCATTTATTCACCATTTTCAGAGTTTTCTCTGTTCATTTTAGTCTGGTTCAAGTGCCTGTGTTGCTTCTTCCATGCACACATGTGAGGAAGGGCTGGCTGTGTTCTCCTTCCCTGGCTCTGACATGAAATAATCCTCCACAATCCATGTCTGCGTGCTGTGCACTTGCTAACCAGAGATCCAAAAGCACGGAGCAGCATCTATCAGAGCTGTACAACAAACGTAGCACTGCAGAGATAGCCGAGCTCTAATCACTCAGCTCCAGGCACTTTGCTCTTCATCATACTTGTCTAGACAGACTAAATGGTCTCTGCGAGACAGCCCCGGTGTTAGGCAGGAAAGCGGCTGTGTTTTCCATACGGATGAACTCCCAAACAGGTATGGCTAAGGGTGGGCATTCCCTGGAGCACGGCCGGTATGAATGTGCCTCATCCCGCGGTGGAAAGGTGAAAAGGCACGGGGATGCGCTGCCTCCTCCTCCCAACACATCCAGGGCTTTTTAAGTGATACCGCCCGCTCGGGGATGTTTGTGGGCATTTCACAGCCAAGAGAAGGAAGGGGCTCCAAGGTGTTACTACAGCCAGCATGGCTGGGGAGGGGGGACAACGACAGAACCCAAAGCCACGGTTGCGTAGGGGCCGGTTGTACCCCGATCGCCAGCCAGCGCTGCCAGCCGGAGGGTCGCTGTGTGCGAGGCATGTTCTGGAAGGGTTGCAGAAACAGGTGCTGCTCCTGGGACACCTGAACACCCCCCGGCCCCGCTGATGTGGAAAAGGGGCTGTGATTCCCGGTGCGGGAATCACGCGGGTGCGTGTGCAGGGACGGAACAAGTCCCCCGGCACTGGGGCGATGCACCAAGCACGAACACTGAGCTCACCCCCGGCACAGCAAACCCCCGGGAGGGTGCACCAGGAGTGGCCGGGCAGGACCCCTGGAGCCCGTGGGGATGATGCCCGGAGCGCAGTCCCTAATCCCCGGCGGGAGATGCCCCGAGCGCGGTCACAGCCCCCGGAGGGAGATGCCCTAAAGCGTGACCCGCCGCCACCGGGGGAGGATGCCCCGAGCGCGGCCACCATCGCCCGCGGAGCGATGCCGTCGCCGGGAAGCGCTGCCCACCACCCCAGGAGATGCCCCAGCGTGGCCACCCTCACCCGCGGAGCGGTGCCCGTCATTCCTGGGGCGATGCCCATCACCCCGTGAGATGCCCAGCCCGCACGCCGGGGCTGCCCGGACTCCCCTTCCCTCCTGACCGTGCCCTCCCCCGATGAGGCGACCCCGCGACACCCCCGATGTGCCCGGGGGGACAGGACAGGACTCACCGCCCGCCGGGCCGGGACTGCGGAGGCGGGAGGAGCGGCAGGGCCGGGGCACCCGGCTCGGGGCTGGCGAGGCGGAGCGGAGCCCGGTAGCGGCAGCGGCGGCGGCAGGAGGAGCAGCAGCAGGAGGAGGAGGAGGAGGAGGAGGAGGAGGAGGAGGAAGAACAGGGGGAGCAAAGGGGGGCTCGGCCCCGCCGCCGGGAGCCCGCGAGATTCGCCGAGCGGCCGCGCAGAGCCGCCTCCTGCCGCGCGCGGGGCAACCGCCGGGGGGCGCCCGCGGGAGCGGCCGGGGGACACGGAGGGGGACACGGGGACAGGGACAGGACAGGGACAGGGGGGGGACAGAGGGACAGGGACAGGGGACACGGAGGGGGACAGAGGGACAGGGACAGGACAGGGACAGGGACAGGACAGGGGACACGGGGGGGACAGAGGGGAACACGGGGTCCGGGACAGGGACAGGACACGGGGACAGGGACAAGGACAGGGAACACGGAGGGACACAGGGACAGGGACAGAACACGGGGTGCAGGGACAGGGACAAGGACACGGGGACAGGACACGGTGTGTGGGAGGAGACACGGGATGGAGGGACAGGACACGGGGTGCGGGATCAGGACTCGGGGTGCGGGATCAGGACTCGGGGTGCAGGAGGGGACACGGGGCGCAGGAGGGGACACGCGGTGCAGCAGGTGCGGGTCAGGACGGGCCCGGCGGTGGCGGCGGGTCCCGCTCGGCTGCCGGAGCCCGGAGCGGGGGGCGCAGGCAGCCCCGGTTTGGGGGAGCGCATTCCCGAGGGAGCCCGGGGCTGAGCAGCGCGGCGGTGCCGGGGGTGGAACCCTTTAATCTGTGCTCTGATGGAGCTGGGCGAGGAGCGGCTGTCTGGGGACCGGTTGTGCCGCTGGCTGGTGCCATCCCCGCCCTGTTTGCATTCGCCTTGATGCCTCGCTCGCAGCATCGCTCCCACATCACCCGGATTCATTTCTGTGTCCCACGATGTCCTTTAATTCGGGAATATTATCTGTTCTTGGAAAGGTTAATTACATTAAAGGAGTGGATCTGTGTTACCATTTCTTCATGGCTTCATTTATTCTGCCTTTCATGTTTTGATCCTCTTCAGTGCTTTGATCCCTCATTTCTGCCATCCCTGGATGGGAGGAAAAAAGGAATACCCTGGATGGGACCCAAGCGTGTCCCTAAGTGACATAAACTGAAATTAGGAAAAAAAATATATTTTACAGCCTCAGGGGCTGTAGCAGTGCTGGCAACCCAAATGCCATCTGCACACCCAGCACAACCACGAGCCTGGTTGTGTCCTGCTGGAGTCGTGGTGGCCACAGGATGGCCAGATGACCGCGTGCCATGCTGCAGGATCAGCAAGCAGCAGGATGAGCCCATCCCTGCTGCAGCCTGCGTGCCTGGGACCTGCATTGCTCTGAAGGCACTGGCAGCATCACTGGTGAAAAATTGCCCTAATTTGCTGCTCTCGTAATCAGGCCAAGGCGAAGCAGCAGCTTCTCCTGGCAGCAGACGCTGCTCGTGAATCTTCCTTGTGGGAAACCTTCCTGAGATTCAGCATGTGGGAAGGGCAGCAGGGAATTCTGAGGCCTTGCAACAGTCTCTTCTTCCACTTCAACAGCTACCCAAAGCACAGGAGATGCCCTCTGTGCTGTTTTAATTGGTTGCTGCTTGTAATGAGACTTTATTTGTATTAATTACTTAAATTATGTATTTATGAGTTGCTCCGAGTACACTGTCAACATGTTTAGAACCATAATGAGCCTCAAAGAGTCAGCTCCTACATGAGGAAGCTGTGAACTGGAAAACCAGATGCACTGATACAGTGTGCTCCCAGAATGCACAATTAATTTTTTTGTTAAACCTATTGTAAACTTAAAAATCAGTAGTTGGCTTAGCTGCCAGCCCACTGACTGACCAGCACAGGTAAACAGGACTGGTGTTGTTATGTTCTCATAATGATTCGTTTATCCTGGGCAGGCACAGGGGGAGGCAGGGACAGGGACAGTGATGAGGAAACAGCCACACACTCACTCTCTGACTTTTTAGGAGGCAAGTGGTTTTATTAAGAGAGGATCAGTAGACAAGGAAGGGAAAAGGGAGCAGGAGGTGATCAAAACTCAGATGAGAAGCCAACCAGGAGCTGGAGAGAGCAGTGAATGAGAGGGATGGAGATTTGGGGCTGTGCAGGGAGCGGGAGGGCTCCGGGACAGCCGCACTCAGCATCTGCTCAGCTGCCACTGGAGCTGCTCACAGCAGAGACGTGATGCCCCCCACAAGTGGCCCTTATCTGCAGTGATCAGCAGCAGTCACCATTCTGCTCTGAAACCAATTGTTTGTGCAAAGCTGTGCTTCCTGGAGCAGCCACATGATCTGTGTCCTCCCCACGGGAGGATGTAAAACACAGGGGTGCATGCCTTGGGCAGGTGAGTGCAGGAAACTTCATGGGGCAGCACATCCTCAGGGAGAAGCAGTTTGAAAAAAAATCCCAAAACTGCTGCCTGAGACTTGAATTTAGGCAACTGTAGCTATTTATCCAAAGAAAGTTGTATAGATACATAAGTAACTCCATGGGGAGAAAAGGCAGGTACCCATGAGCTGTGTAAGCCAGAGAGAAGAGACAGCCCAAACCCACAGCTGCAGCCTGAAGGCAGACTAATTGAAATGAGAAAATAGGCATTAATTTTTTAAAGAATGAAGTTGATTAGCTGCTGGAACAAATTACTGAGGAAAGTGAAATTCTTCCCAAGTGATAGTGTTTTCTATTCAAGATAAGATGCCTTTCCCCAAGTGGGCTTCAGCCAAGCACACGTTCCTGTGTTCAGCAGAGCAAGGATGGGGTGAAATCTGGTGGTCTCTGCTCTGAGAAGGTGAAGAGGTGACTTTGTGGCCCTACCTTTATTTCAGGAAATGAACTGAAGGCATGGATTTCTAAATCCCTCCTGGATGGTGCTCCAAATTTCAGTTTGTGCTGCTACCATAAAGCATAGATGCACACAAGCAAACTTTCTGAAAGTTTGGACCTCAGCAGCAGCCCAGAGAGAGTAGAGTGGGTTCAGCTTGTGTTGTCTCTGCTGGTCAGTCACAAAACCCTGACTTACGCTTGGGCAGCACTGTAGAACTACCAGCAGCTACTTTGATGTTGGTCCTAAAGCAATTGCAGCCACATCTGTCTCACCTTTGGACTGTGCTGTACACAAGGAGGAGAACTAGGAAATGCCCCCACAAAAAAAAAAAAAAAAAAAAAAAAAAAAAAAAAATCACATTGCTGCTTCTACAGAAATGAGTAAAGTACAAAATTTGCTAGGAGGAGGAGCAGGCTCAAAA